GAGTCTCTCCAGCGACCGCCGGCGGCGACTGGGCGACCGCTCTCTGCGCTTCTCGGGGGAGAGGTCTCTCCTCCTCTCGTGTCGCTCCCGCCTCTCCAGAGTGTTGTCAGCGCTCCTCGTCCCTTCCCTCCGCTTTTCGGGAGACCTCCTCTTCTGCCCATTCACCACTGCCCTCTCCGGCTGCCGCTCGTGCCTCCTCTCCGGCGACCTCTCCATCCTCCTGCCTGGCACGTGGTCGTTGGTTTTAGAAGTCCCATTCCAAGTGTGGTGTTCATTGGGATGTCTGCTAAACTCTCTGCTGCCTTTTAGGTCTCTAACGTAAGTCCGCTTGTCCCCATGTTGTGATGATTTGTGAAGGTCTGGTGGATAACTGGACTCCGATGATGGGTGCTGCCGTCGGTCGGATGGCACGGGTTTCATTTCTGATACATTTTGTGAACCTGTGGCGGGACTGTTCCTGTCACTGCTGGGGTCTGAAAGAAAATAACAGCAAAGCGTTTGGTACCGATGCCTTCCGCGGCGCCGTGACACCACTTATCACTCTTCAGACTTCATTAGTGACAAAAACAAACAACTGTTAAAGCAGTCAGCGAAGGCTAACCAAAGCTTTTGTTAATTTAACTGCGAACAACGAGAGTTACAGGTTAGTACTGGTGCTGCTCTGTTCGTTAGCCGTGTTTTGGTCCAAGCCGATATCATCTTTATGCTCTTCTTGTCAAGGGGCATTTTACATTTTCCCCAAGCCCAATTCATAATGTTTCGGTTACATTACTTTCTTTCCAGTGGAAAAAAAAAATATTGTAGTTCGGGTTGTTGGCTGTTTTTTTAAGTTTCCAATAAAGAGGGCCTTTAGGAAACAATATTTTTCTTTTGAGTCTTTTGAAAGAACTGCCTTCCAGGTGTGGGAGGCCTTGTTTCAAATAGCAGAAAATGTACAGAAAACAGAATTGATTATTAAGTTTTCACCTCATAAAATAACATTTTGAAGGTGTGAGAATTAGACTGTAATAATGCAATTTCCATTTCATTTAAGACATTACTTAATCTCACTTAGTTCTACCATGTTATGAAAACTCCTAGGGTAGATTTTGGTTTTGCCACAATGATTCGAACAATGATGACAGAAGTTATGATTTTTTCATATCAAAGCAATGGAAAGATATTCTAATATGTAGGATGGCTCTGATTAAAACCTGATCTCCAGTTCATTATTTTACTGTAGTATTTCAGGTAAAATACAGCTGAGCTACCTCTGCGAGACAAACTGCAAAGCAGGAAGAAAAACAACCCCAAAACTAAAAACCAGCCCTGTGCTGTAGCTAAGCTACAATTACTCACGTCATTTGTGACGGATGTTTATGAATGATTCATTACAGACATGGCAAACTTTAAAGTAGCTGCGCTGACTTAATGCGAGCGTTGCTTTTCTTTGCTTATTGTTTTCTTTTTTAAAGTAACTTCTGCACGGCAGCTCGGCTGGCGTTAGCTACGCTTCCTGCAGGCTTCCTGCCGCTCGCACCGAGACACCCACCTCGAGGTGGACTGTCCTGATGGCAACGACTGAAAACCCTCACAAACGCTTGTGGGGACAGATTTTTCTGTCTGGTTTTCTCCTTTTTGTCTTCCCTCCCCCAAGCCAAACACTCTCACGCTCATTCCTCCTGCCACCACGCAAAGCGTCTCCCATTTGATGGCATTTCCATTCCTTAGCTTGGGAAGGTCGGTGTGTGCATGGGCCATGATTTTTGTGATTTCCAGGTGAAACCCGTGTTGTGACTCACGTGTGTGCGTTTTTGCTTATTAGCATTTTCAGGCAGCAGCTGGGGACCACACCGCTTTTCCGTAGCTGTAAGCTCGTGGCTTGCGGCAACCTGGCTATCGCACAAGGTACAAGCGAGGCTTAAACGTGTCCTGTGGTGTACTTACAATTCAGGGGACGCAGGGTGCTCGGAATGAATTGCTGTACATATAAAATATAGCGAAGCGGAAAGCAATGTGAGGGAATTAGGCCACAGCACAAAAACACCTAATATTGATTTTAGCTACAAACCGTAGTTTGATTATGGCCCATAAGGTAGAAGCAAGACTCCCCGAGCTTGTCATTTCTCATACATGCAGCGATATTAGGAGGTATCATCGCTGAGGAAGGAAGAGCCCAGCACCAAGAAAAGTAAGAGAAAGAGAAAGAGAAAAGTAGAAAATTTAGATTCCCTATAATAAAGATGAAAGAAAGAAAAATCTTCATATTTTATCTTAGAATAAAGAAAGTTTATTTTTCCAGTCAGATTGTCTAGGCTTCACCCAAATATAAGGCTGCAAAGACAGCAGTTGTTATTATCGTGACATAAAGAGACGTCTAAGAGGTGATTCAATAACCCAGACAACGAGAGCATCCATTCTAAAAGACAGCTGGAACAGCGACACAGAATGTCATAGAAAAAACATTAACAATCAAACAACAACGAAAAATAAAGTCCACCAGAGACCACAACATTAAAAATAAGTACAAAACTCATTACAAAAATATACAGCCTCATAGAGAAGCACGTTCCAATCAAGTCAGAAAAATATTGGAACTTAACATTATTAGAGGAACCATTTGCGACTGCAGCGAACAGAACGAAGAGAGGAAGGAGCCCCAAATGTTACAAGGATATTCTTTACAGTAGTGCAAACCCTGTATATTAAATCCTTGCTTGGAGAATGAACGTTTAGTGGTTTAGCATTAGCCAAAAGAAAATTGGTGGTGGATTTCCATCCTCAGTGCAACAGACATACGCTTTGAGAAGTGAAGCACTTAATTTACAGGGTATTTATGCAGTCTAGCATTTGATACAGTACTGTACATCCAAAGGAGTATAGGAAAAGACAAAAGTAGAAAGAACGTTACAGAATTTCAGTGCCATCATTGAACCTTCTGGTGTGCTATTTATATTACAGAAGTGTAAACACACAACTTCCTTTCCATATTGTTAAACACTTCAATTGTTTGTTGGTTATACTCTGAATTGGTCATTTTAAGTTAAATAATGAGCAGAGTGAGCAGAAACTCTCAAATGTGGTACCGTAAATGAAAAGAAAGTCTAGTTCACAAATTGTGCAAAGGGTTTTGTTTCTGGTTTTAGGACACGGAGTGAATGATAAACACAGAACTTACTGACACAGAAATAACCCAAATACGGGGAGGAAAGTATAAAGGACATCCCTTCAATCATCAGTTTCTATAGAAACCTCAAAGACCTTTGGTTGGGAGTAGCCCTCCATCGAGGGCACAATATTTGACAATTATCTCAAATAAATAAGACATAATTATAGTATTAAATAGTGTGCTAAGTTAAGCCACCCAGCAATCCAACCTCCGGGGGAAGAAAAGGAAATCTAATGCAATTCTTAGTAAGAAACGAGGACTGAATGTTTCCCCCAAGACAGACACGAGAGCACCTTTTCATAACCTCCTCACCTTTTCAGACCTTACAAATTAACTAGTTGAAACCAGCAGACAGTTTAAGGGGGGAGAAAAGGGCTCAGGAGGCCAAATCAATATATTTTTGCAGTAAAGCTTTTTTTTTTTCTTCTTCTTTTTCTTAAATAACTTTATAAATATTTACATAAATATTAAGGGAAGGCAAAAAATCTCATAAGCCATCTCAGCATTCATGTCTATGGATACAGACAGGAACTAAGAGAAAAACCTAACAAAAAAAATCACTGCTTCAGAATAATAACTCAGGATCCCAGTTTTTGCATTGATTAGAAGTAGAGACCTATTTGAAACAACAATTCAGCCGCTGAGAAACAGTTTGGCACAGTTCAATGACATTCCTTGTTTGGCTGGACAAGACAATAAGTTTTTTTTGTTTTGTTTTGTTTTCCTCTCTGATCACCAAAAATACTGCTATGATGATCTTGCCTTACACTGCGCCCCAAGTCCATGGAAGCAAGCAAAGGATGAAATGTGTAGAAAATTCAGCACAAGCGAGGCAATTAACCATATGTTGCAAAGGTTGGTAAGACACTGGTGAGAAAGGAAAATAAAAAAGAATTCCCGCTTCAGATCTTGAGACAAATCATTCATGGAGTGATGCCAGGGAAGAAAGGAATGTTTTCATAGTTTGACCCACCATATTCTGGGACAGAGCCATCTCCACGTTTCAGAAACAGGCGGACCCTACGGCCACCGTTTTTAATCAGTTCGATGGCCCGAGCATGCTTCATGTTCTTGGTAGTTTCTCCGTTGATCTCTAAGATTTCATCACCGATCTGTCAATGTAATAGAAGAAAAGAGTCTGAGATTAGAAACAAGCCCCCACGAGGGCCACCACCAGCACACCACAAGACAACGGCCACAGCAGAGGTGGAAGAAGAACTATGTACCAGGTGAAGCTAAATATGCCCAACTCCTTCCAGTGACAGTCCACAAAAAAGAGTATGCAGGGGCCTGGGAGACATGGAGACGACAGGGAAAGCTTGAGGTATCAAAATATTTCATTGCTGTTCTGTAAAACCACCTTGCATTACTGAACTGCTCAATACCTAGAGCTGTGTTAGAACTGGTGTTATTTTATTTTAGTTTGATTATTTGTAAAGCCTTTGGTCAAAGTGGTGGTTTGTTTTGCAGTCTGCTGTAACTAGGATGTTCAAATAGCTTTTTCAGGTCCATTTCTCACTTGGATATAGATACCTACTATGAACCGGTAAACCTGCTTTTGTAAATATAATCATTTATCAGGATAGGAAAACAGGGCTTGGAAGAGCTTGTCAAAGCATTGGCTTCCACAGGGCAGCACTGATTAATTTTCATCGGCAAAAATTTTGGACCTATAAATCTACCCCTAGCAAAAGAATTTTGAAAATGCTCTTCGTGAGATGTATCTGGAGAAAAAAAAGACAAATGCTGTAAAATTATCAAGCACTCTCTAAAAGAGGAGCAAGGAATACATAAAACGCGGCAATTTAATTTTTCTGTAGGCATTTTATAACACGTCCTTGTTATAATTTTATAATCTAGATGACATGTGAAGTTAATAGTTAATACTAATGAAAAATTAACACTACCATTTTGCAATCCATAGGTCGGTATACATGCTCCCTCACCACTCTACCACCCAGCAGAGGAGAGGATCAGCTGGGACACCCCAATTCTCTACTCAAGGCTCCAGCTTTAAAGAAGCTGGCAAAGATTGCGGCTATTACGTTTTCATTGTTACACGTATCTTTGTTAGGCTTTAGAAGTCAGATTATGTATTAGAATTTGGAAACCCAGGTTGGAACAAGGTGGTGAAATCTTCCAGTGCACACACACTGTTATAGACTCTATACAAAGAGTGACAGAAGCCATTGACAGAAGCAAATAGGAACCACCGCTCCTTTCAGTTAACATTTAATTTTCCTCTTAGCTGGCACAGCAGAAGATGTGCCTGTAGGGGAGAGGCAGGGAAGTCAGCTTATTGCAAAGAAGCGTGTTTATTAAATCTGTTTGTGCATACCCTCATCTTCCCACATCTCTCAGCTGGACCATCCTCAGCTAGCCGCAACACGTACAGATCCATATTATACTCCCGGCCACCTCGCAGGCTAAAGCCAAACCCTTTGGCTCCTCTTTCCAGCTCAACAGTGTAAAAGTCTTGGTCCTGCTGGAGGGAAGACAACACATGCGCAATTAAACAGAAAGTTAAATGCTGCTCTACTCTCATTTTTAAATTATTCAACCAATGAATGTTATTATTTTTGTTACTCCTAATTAAAAAAAGAAAATCAGTTGAGTTTTCACACACAGACTAGGATTTCCTGCTTCCTCAGATCCGTGTGCCAGCGGTGGTCTGCAAAGGGCTGTTTGGATGAATGGGCTTGGCCATGTCCCATGTACACAACACCTCCTGTGCCCAGGGCAGAAAGGGGCATTTCTGGAGGGCGGTTAGCGTTCTACCAACCGCAAAGGAAGACTAGGGCAACCTCACCTCCCGTGCCAGGCTTTAGTTAAATGTCTAATGGTACCTGGGACGAGTCTATGCCACGGTGCTGGCTTTTCCTTTTTGTTACCACCTCATCTATTCCTTTGCAAGAAGCTCAGAAGTACGTGCATTGTTTTTCACAAATGCTGTTAGCATAGGGATGTTTTGAAATCCCTAATGGAAGAGGTTAGTTCTGGGATGGCCAGTGGCAAGGAAAGTTAACAGTGAGATAGCTAATCTCTCCAATAAGATGCCGTCTGCAAAAGCTGGAACACTCCAGCTATTGCCCCTTATTAAGTTTTCTTCTTTTTTGTCCTCTGAATTTATCATTTGCACTCAACAGTACTTTCTGGAGAGGCCCCTCAAAATATACAATTCAATAAACAAACAAAAATTATTACTGTCGTAAAAATGTCAGCTTTTTTTTTTCTTTTTTTTGTTCTCCCCGAAAGTCTTGATGAGAATGTGTTGGAAATGTTTCTCAGCTGAAACAACAGCAACACATATTAAGAAACTAATCAGCAAATTCCTCTTTCTTCAGCAAACAGACTGAGGGAGAACAGCTTCCCAGTAGGAACCTTCAAGGGAAATATTTGAACACAGCCCTCAAGCAGATTGGAAGCAACGGTCTGTGGTAAACAAAACAATTAGAAAGGTACTCCTTACCTGTGCTGCTTGGGGTGGTTTGAAATCAAACTGGGATTCCTGCTTTGGTTTGGTGTTGTTCCTGCTGTAACGAATGAGAGAAAGAGGGAGAGAGGAAAAACACAGCTCATGGGATGTGAAGATGATCAAGAAGTAACCAAAGAGAGAGCATGTCAATATGCTCTCCTCAAGGAAAACAATCTGACCTGGTCTCCTGTGGTATTTGCTGAGGAGTATGTGTGGTTGTAATTGTAGCAATTTTTTCTGCATTGGTCAATAAAGTAGCATTGGAGGATTCTGCAAAATAAATTTTTTTTTCATTATGAGGGAAAACCATTGGCTATTCACTGATAAAACAAAAGTTTTACACAGGCATTTCACCGGAAAGCATCATTATGTTGTTTTTAAAGAACTTGAGATTGGCTCAGATTTCTTAAATCCAAAAATTAACAGGATAAAGTCTAAGCTAAGTCATAGTAATTATGTATATGAAACTGTACAGCACCTCTGTTGCAGAGAAATATTGGCCTTTGAGTTGCACATCGAAACGTAATGTGATATATTGCTCATGGCTCAGCTTTTTTTTGGTATCTGTCATCAGATGTACCAAATTACTGTGTAATCTGTTTTTCTTCTTTGTAAGAGAAAAACTTCTAAGCACCCCTAACCAACTAGGAAACACTGTCATATAACTGCTGCTGCTGTATCCTATGTTCTTGAAAACGTCAAGGCTTTAGTGAAGGCATCATATTTAGCTTAATCATCACTGCAAAAGTTAATTAGCAAAGAATGTGCGTACCAGAAACTGCCACAGCTACCCATCACAAATAGTGTAGAGCAGGGAGTCAAATATTTATATATATTTATACAATACATAGTATATTTATATAATAAATGCACAAATGAGAAGTTTTTTTCAGTAACCAAATACATCAGCACTCTCATCGATCTCAAGAAAAAACCGAGGCCACTCAATTGGCAAAAGAAAAAAAAAAGGGGGGGGAAAATCTGGATTAGAAACATCTTCGACTGTTAGACACACTCAGAACAAAGACTGACTTGTGGAGGAAGGGTTGAAGAATGTTTTGACCGTTGTCTAATGACATGAATTCCAATCATTAAAGTCTCCAAATATGGTAGGTTGACTGGATTAATTTTATAGCAGCAATAACTATTCCATGGATTATAAGCTTATCAGTGCTTCCTCCATCAGAAACTGCAATCTTCAATAGGATTGAGATGCGGCTTTTATCTAATACCTCACAAGGTGATATTGAATGTGCCTAAAACCCAAACTTTCTGAAATCCATCTTTGAAATATGACCCACTGCTGCCTGCGCACTCAAAGCTGCACACAGGGACGTGGAACCACCTGTACCAAATGCATCAACAACTCTGGGTACCATTTACAAAAGGGTTCACCAAGAGAATACAGAGAGGAGGACTAACTTCAAAACTCAATTTATGCCATGGTAAAGGGCTCCCAGCCCAACATCAGCCTGTGCAAATGCTGTATTTCTCTACGCACGGAAGGAGGTGCTTCCAGGAGAGGAGCTCTCTCCTGCTTCACAAAACGGGGAAGGGCGTTGCTGTAGGCACAACTGAAAAGGGACTATCTACGTGTCCCTCACAGCATGGCATGGCAAAATGGTCCCCTTGTAATTTTGGAGCTTTATCATAGACTTCAATAAGACCAGACTTAACCCAGTACTCATTTAAAATTCTGCCTAAAATTGAGGTCATGCACCTTGTTTCTTGACTGAATTTCTCTAGTTCCAATCCCACTTAAAAAAAGCCACCATCAAACAACAGCAACAAAAACCGGGTGGAAACATCTGGCTCTCCAACATAAAATTACAAGGTCGTCTACCCTGCCCTTGTTTGCCTCTTAAGCTCTAGGCATCTGGCAATTCATTTTATTGACTATGGAGAAATCTGCCATTATTAAACAGAGTCCAGCTGTAATACAAAATTGCAGAAATGGGAGGTTTTTTGCCTGAATTAAGGAGAGGTGGTGGTTATGGGCTTACTTGGTCCTGGGAACCTATTTTATTTCATGGATTTATTTTAATTGTGGAGATATCCAGATGAGGTGAAGGTTTTTCCCTTCTGTGCATGTCAAAGGAAACTCAGGAAAA